CCGGCAGCCCCACCCTGCCCGCCGGCCCCGCCCCCGCGGGCCTCACCAGCCCCCATCTCAGCTGGCCACGCCCAAAAGGGCCCCGCCCACCTCTGGGACGACCGGAAGACAGCTGCCAGCCCGCTTGCCCCACTTCCGCCCTTGGTACCCAAGCTCCCGCTCTCCCCTCTCCGCCCCGTCCCCTGCTACATCCCCCACCCCCGCCCGGGAGGCCCGGCAGCCCCTACTAGAGGTTGATGGTGCTGGTGGCGGACACTGCGCTGCCGTCCTCGGAGACGACAGACAGGTGTGCGGTGCCCCCGTCGTTGGGAGTATAGAATTCGGGCTCGTAGTAGGAGACAGGGTACGTGGTGTCGTCGGAGATGCGCGCCCGGAGCTGGGCAGCGAAGAATTCTGAGGTCATGTTCTGGATAACCTGCGGAAACCCCAGAGGCGGCCTGAGGAGGTGGGAGGAGTCGGGGACGGGCACAGGGTCGTGCCAGCAGAAGGCCGGCGACCCTGGCTGTGACTGCAGCCCTCCAGCACGCTAAGGCCCTCGTGCCTCCCTGGGGCGGGCCGCGCCAGTCCAGCAGCCCTGAACGGCGGTCTGCCTCTCCTGCTTTCGGTCAGTCATTCTTTCACGCGGATATACGGAGCTTGTGCTGGGCTGGGCACCGGGGGCTCATCAGGGAGCAGATACGCAGGCCCCAGCCCTGATGAGGAAAGTACAAGAGCAGGCAAGGGTGCAGGGAGGATAGAGGGGGATCACGGAGGGCTTCTGGGAGGAGGTGATGTCTGCAAAGCGCACTGAATACGACCTGAAGGGTAAGTGCCTAGGTCCCCAGGCAGGCGGTGCTGGGCCTGTGAGTGACTGGCCAGGGAGGGAGAAGAGGCTGAGGACTGGTGTGGGCCAATCCTCTAGGGCCTCGCAGGCCAGTCAGGACCCAGAGCCACAACCTGCTTCAGGTAACCAGGTGAGAGCTGATGAGAGTGGAAACCTCAAAGCCACTCAGCCAAATCTGGCCGGTTTTTATACAGCCCTCAGACAAAAAAAAAAAAAAGCTTTCCCACCAGCCACTCCTCGGAAGGAAGGTTGGGCAATCCTACTTCCGTAGTGATACTGCCTGGGAAACCCAAGGAGGGGTCGCTATGAGTCGGGGCCGACTCGACGGCCCATAACAACAACAACAACATGTTTATAAAGGGCTGATTAAAAAAAAAAAAAAACTATTATGGTCCCTAAGCCCTAAGGCAATAGTAACCCAAGGTACCCCAAGGAAGGGGTCCTGGAGGTCTGCAAAAGATGTCCACGAAAGTTTGTGCACTTTCCTTAGAGCTCCTGATTATCCATAAAAGCAAAACCAAACCCACTGCCTTATAACGGATTACGATTCTGGGTAGAACTGCCCAAAAGATTTTCAAGGCTGTCAATCTTCAGGGAAACAAAACCCAAACCACATCCACTGCCCTGGAGTCCATTTTGACCCACAGCGCCCCTAGAGGACAGAGTGGAACTGCCCCAGAGGGCCTCCAAGGCTGTCAATCTTCAGGGAAATAAAGCCCAAGCCACACCCACTGCTATGGAGTCCATTCTGATTCACAGCAGCCCTAAAGGACAGAGTGTCTCATCTTTCTCCCTGATGGGTTTGAATTACTAACCTTTGGGTTAGCAGCAGAATGTTTTAACCGCTGCACCACCACATTATCCCAGGATGTGGATATTCTGCAAGGGAACAGCTCTGGGTCGCAAAGCAGTATCCCCAGAGCAGTCAACTGCGAAGTGTGAGCCTTTTTGATCCTGGACCGAATGGCTAGGCCCCTGGGGACTGTCTGCCTGGGCTTGAGGTATGCTTTCAGACCCCGTGGGGATGCACGAATCTTAGTTTCTTAGAGACACAGCCTGGGGGGTGACAGCTATGACTCCTGCCAAGTAGTTCAGAGAAGGAGATGGTGGAGGTGGGGAGAGAACGGTAGAGTGGCAGTGTTCACAATGATGACCCTAAGGAGCCCTGGGTGGCACAAAAGGTTAAGCATCTGGCCACTAACCAAAAGGCTGGCAGTTCAAACCCACTCAGAGAGTTTGGGAGAACGGCCACAGGCACTGGAAGCCCCATGGAACTCAGCTATACACTGACATGTGGGGTATCCAACCAGGCTTGGTTGGGTGACTCCCAGTGACGAGAACAGGGGTTGCAGTTGATGAAACACTGTCCAGTCCTGCGCCAGCCTCACGATCCCTGCTGTACCTGAGCCCATTGTTGCAGCCGCTGTGTCAGTCCATCTCGTTGAGGGCCTTCACCTTTTTAGCTGACCAAGCGTGACATCCTTCTCCAGGGAATGGTCCTTTCTGACAACATGACCAAAGTAGATGAGGCAAAGTGTGGCCACTCTCACTTGCAGAGAGCATTCCAGCTGCACTTCGTCCAGGGCCGATCTGTCTCTTCTGGTGGTCCTTGGCACTTTCAGCTTTCTTCACCTTCACCACCACGATTCAGAGGGATCATCTCCTCCCGGTCTTCCTTATTCATTGTCCAGCTCTCACATGCATATGAGGCGACTGAAAGCACATGGCTTGGGTTAGGGACACCTTAGTCTTCAAAGTGACATCTTTGCTGTTCAACACTTTAAATAGGTCTTTTGGAGCAGATTTGCCCTGTGCAATATGACATCCGATTTCTTGACTGCCGCTTCCATGGGGTGGGGACTCTGGTAGAGTAGTGCGTAAAGCATCACTCATCGGCAGGTGAGTTTTTGGTTTTGGTTTCCATGGGCGTTGATTGTGGATCCAAGGAAAATGAAATCCCTGATAACTTCAATCTTTTTTTTTTTTTTCCCCCATTTATGATGTTGCTTAGTAGTCCAGTTGTGAGGATTTTTGTTTTCTTTCCATTGGGGTGTAATCCACACTTAAGGGTGTAGTCTTTGATCTTCATCTGTAAGCGCTTCAAGTCATCCTCATGAAGTTGTATTGCTTGTGATTGAGTCTTCCTCCAATCCTGATGCCATGTTTTTCTTCATATAATCCAGCTTCTCGGATCATTTGCTCAGCATGCAGACTGAGTAAGTATGCTGAAAGGATACAACCCTGACACACTCCCTTTCTGGTTTTAAACCATGCAGTGTCCCCTTGTTCTGTTTGAACAATGGCCTCCTAGTCCATGTGCAGGTCCCTCATGAGCACAATTAAGTACTCTGGAATTCCCATGCTTGTCAATGTTATCCATAATTTGTTATGATCCACACAGTTGAATGCTTTTACATAGTCAAGAAAACACAAACATCTTTCTGGTGTTCTTTGCTTTCAGCCAAGGTCCATCTGACATCAGCAGTGATATCCCTCATTGCACGTCCTCTTCTGAATCCACACTGCATTTCTGGAAGCTCCCTGTCAATGTGTGACCATTCTCCTCATCACCAGCTTAAGGAAGCCACCCTGCAGGCTCCAAGGCTCTGTGTTCCCACTTCACTGACCAGAGAAGGTTCTTCAGGTCAGAGGGCCAGAGCAGAGGTGTGCTGAGAGCCGGTTGTGGTGTCTGTTTCCCCGGCCTCTCCACTCCTCCTGTAAGCCCTGTGGGGACAGCAGCTGGGATTCCAGGACCTCAGGTCACTGTCCCGTCCCTGGCACAGGGCAGGCCCACGTGAGACTCTGGCCAGCGAGTGTATCAATAAAGCCAGCCTGAGGCTGGGGTGCCCCTTACCTTAGTGACACTGACAAACTTGGGGTCCCCAAGCAGGGTCCTCTTGGCATAGGCGAAGCGGAAAGCCTCCACGATCCGGTGGTATGTCAAGCCCTTCTCCTCGGGGGTCTCCACACTTGCCCGGGAGAAGTTGTACCCTGGTCGGGCAGAGCAGACCCGTGTTGGCAGCCCTGGGGGCACCTCCCACTCCACCCTGCGTGCCTGGCAGCTCACGTCTCCCTCGGGGCCTCTGCTCACCTCAAGAACAGAAAGCTAAATGCTGTATGACCAGGACAGGGCAAGGCTACCAGGCCTCAGACTCCGGGTGGAGAAGGCGCCTCAGCCCTGGACCGCTGCATCTGCACATCGGCCCATGGGACACTGCCCTCACCTCCCACCTGGGCTCTGTTCTGCCCCCTGCAGGCACGCGTGCAATGGACAGAGGGGGCAGCATCCAGCCGTGCAGCAAACCCTTGGGAGCTCACCCTTTAGGATATTAAGGATGAGAGCCAGCACGGGCCCGCTGAGCGGGGCGCTGGGTGCGTAGAGCACAGCGTCCCCCAGGCTGATGTTCAGCGGTTGCTTGATCAGCTCGGCACGGTAGTTGTTGAGGTCCTTGGCCGTCACGATGCCTCCTGCACGGTGAGAGCCGTTCAGGTGGACCCAGGGGCAGGGGGCTATGCACCATGGGGGAGGGAAGGGGGCTGTGCTATGGGGAGGCCATGGGACCATCAAGCTGGGACCGGCCCACCCTCGAGGGAGCCCCTCTGTGCTTCCCCACCTCCCTGGCTACCCTCCCCGCCAGTCCTCCCTGCCGTCCCAATACTCCACTGCCACCCTCGGCCAGCTGCCTCTCATGACTCCTGGTCTCTTCTAAAAGGAAAATAAATACCTGCCCCCATCTCCCTGGCCTGCCTCTCCTCCTGGGGGTGGATGGCGAAAGGCTATTCGTCTTTGAAGGACTGGCTCCCGACACCTGGGAAATTTACACTGAGTAACATGCCAGTCAGGAGCTCTGGTGGCACAGTGCCTAAGGCATCTGACTGCCAACCAGAAGGCTGGCAGTTCAAACCCACCAGCCACTCCTCGGAAGGAAGGTTAGGCAGTCTACTTCCATAGAGATGCCGCCTCGGAAACCCAAAGAGGGGTGGCTATGAGTCACATCCAACTGGACAGCAGTGAGTTTGGTTTTGGAACATGCCAATCAGGAGCCCTGGTGGTGCAGAGGTTAAAGCACTCATCTGCGAGCTAAAGAGGGGGCAGCTGGAACCCACCAGGTGCTCTGCGGGAGAAAGATGAGGCAGTCTGCTTCTATAAATATTACAGCCATGGAAACCCTCTGGGGCAGTTCTACTCTGTCCTCCAGGGGTGCTGTGAATGAGAATCGACTACAGGGAGTGGGTGTGGTTTGGACTTTGCTTCTGTGAAGATTGACAGCCTTGGAGACCCTCTGGTGCAGTTCCACTCTGTCCTCTAGGGGCGCTGTGGGTCAGAATTGACCCCAGTGGTGGGTTTGGCTTTTGTTTAGCATGCTAATCACCACCTCCTCTAGGACATGATGACAAAAGTGTGCTTGAGAGAGACCATCAGAGCCCACCCATCAGGGACTCAGCCCCTCTGCCGCCTCCCCCCCACCCCTGTAGTGGGGAACTCTTTATCTTATCTACTTGGCTAGGCTGTGGCTCTCAGTAGTATGGCCAGACCCTACACTGGTTGGCTATCCTGTCATGTCCTGACATTACGTAATCACCCTCCCCTGATGTTATCTGATGCCAACAATCATTTAGTTGAAAGGGGTGTTTCCTTGGGGGTGTGGTCTACTCCATAACATAATTGGCTTGCTGGTGGAGCTCACTCCAGCAATCAATCCATCGTCAGTCAGTCAATCAATCACTCTCAATCAATCACTCTCTCTCTCAACCCTGCCCACTTCTCATCACCTGACCCATGGATCTTCGGACACAAGTCCACAGAAATCTCGTCAGAAATCTTCCCTGACCTACGGACTTTGTACCCACCTGCCCCACCATAGCCTGAGCTAATCCCTTAAGGCAAATCACTCTCCCCTGCCCTCCACCCCCACACACTGAGTCTCCCCTCTACAGAGCCCAGTCTGAGACATTCGCAAGCCCACGCCCAGCCCTGGATAAAGCCCACTCTCTCCAGGCCAAAGCCCGAGCACCCAGAATGCCACTCCTCTCTCTGCCTGGCAGGGCCCCACCATCTGCAGCTCAGGTGCCGCCTCCTCCAGGAAGCCTCCAGGAAGCCTCAGTCTCCTACCCACCTGTGTCCGCTCCCGGGGTTTCCCAGTTTTGACATAAGCAGGAGTTGTAGCCTCCCGCGGCCTTCCCCCAGGGCCCTGCCCAGCCCAGCCCCCGCTGCAGAGCCCCTCGCCCCGGCCCGTCGCCCACTCACCCGCGGCCTCGATGTCCCGGACAATCTGGGCCGTGAGGCTCCCGTTGTAGAAGGCCTGGGCGCCCTCTCGGGCCAGTGTCTCGTATGTGTGGGCCAGCTTGGGCATGACCACTCGTTCCCCCTCCTGTAGCACCTTCCCGTCCCGGCAAAACACCTCGCTGGGCAGAGGGCGCTCAGATGAGATGGGCTGGGGGGCACCGTCACCCTCCAGCCCCCCACCCCCAGGGAGACAAGGCCACAGAACGGTCCTTCCTGTGTGCAGGTGGGGCCTTGCCACTGGCGACATGCCCTTCTCGACAGTCCATCCCAGGCTGCCCATGTGCGATCGCGATGATGACACCTCTGTGCCCTGTGCTCACCACCAGCAAGACCTCCATTCCCCACCTGTGCCCCAGGCCACACACAGACGTACCACAGGGCAGGGTGGCGCTTGATGGCGTCCTGGCTTTGCTCTAGGGCTGCAGCCAGGCCCTTCCCCACTGGGAAGCCCTCCCGGGCCAGCTGGATGCTGGGCTGGAAGAGGCGGGCCCAGGGCAGCCGGCCGTGCCTCTGGTGAGCGAGCTCATAGCCTCGGACCTCTCCCGGAACCGCCACCGACAGCCCCCCTGTGGAGAGAGACCACGGCCCTGTGTACGGCGCCCCAGGCATCGTTAGCCGCCCCTCCAGGCCCAGCCAGCCCCATAGCGAGGGCTCCCCGTGTTCTTCCTGCCTCCTGGATCCCACCCCTGTCTTGTCCCCTCTCCATGCCTCAGTTTCCCCATCTGACCATAAGGTATTTTGTCCTCTGACCTCTTGAGGGACCATGATTCCTGGGGCCCACTCCTCACAGGGCCTCCCTGCCCCCAGAGCTCCCCTCTATCCAAAAAGTTGGCCCGGCCCCAGCGCCCCCAGTCCCACCCTGAGATACCCAGGGCATTTCCACTCCTTCCAGGGGTCATCCTGGACACTTCCCGCCCATGTCACACCCAACCATCCCAAACCCGTTTGCTTTTTATCTGCTGACTTGTGGGCAGCGCTCTGGAACGTGGGGCGGGGCCCCCTTTCTCAACCTGCCATTAAAAAAACCCAAAAAATTCATTGCCATTGAGGTGGTCTGACTCATAGTGACCCCTCCTTGGGTTTCCAAGGAGATGGTATTTCTACGGAAGTAGACTGCCCAACCTTCCTTTCCAGAAGTGGCTGGTAGGTTTGAACCGCCAGCCTTCTGGTGAGCAGTCAAATGCCTTAGGCACTACACCACCAGAGCTTCAACCTGCCCTAGTGAAGAAAAATACCCAGGCAAGCCTGCTGCCGTCCAGTCTGTTGTGGGGTTGCCATGGGGTTTGCTTGTTCTGTTTTTTGTTTTGTTTTGATTTTTGACTTTTCACTGTGTTTTAGGTGAAAGCTTACAAGGCACATTGGTTTTCCGTTCAAGAGTTCAGACACATTTTGTTTCACGACACTGACTGCAATCCCCCCGATGCAACAGCTCTCTTCCCACTCCCTCCTTGTGTTTCTTGTTTCCCCGCGTCCTTCTTTCCTGCCCCTTCCTGCCTTCTGGGCCTCACCTCTGGCACATGCTGCCCTTTGGATCTCCTGAGGCTGGTTATTCTAAGGAGAGCATACCTCCCTGGTGTTACTGTTCACCTTACAGGCCTGTCATGTGGCTGAAAGTTGAGCCCCGTGGGTGAATTCAGTTCCAGGCCTGAAGGGTGACTAAGGGCCACAGTCTTGGGGGTTCCGCCAGTGTCTACCAGGCCATTGAGCCTGGTCCTTTGTATGATTTTGAGAGGCTTTTCCTGGCTGGAATACTCACAGGAGCAGATTACGAGGCCGTTTTCTGCAGTATTACTGGGTAGGTTCAAACTGCCAAACTGCCAACCTTCAGGTTAGCAGCTGATCACAAACCACCCAGGGGATTCACTAAGCAAAGAACCAGAACCCATTGCCATTGATCTGACCCACAGCGCCCCTAGAGGACAGAGTGGAACTGCACCACAGGGTCTCTAGGCTGTCAGTCTTCATGGAAGCAAAGCCCAAACCACACCGGCTGCCCTGGAGTCGATTCCACTCACAGCGCCCCTAGAGGACAGAGTGGAACTGCCCACAGGGTCTCCAAGGCTGTCAATCTTCACAGAAGCAAAGCCCAAACCACACCCACTGCCTTGGAGTCCATTCTGACCCACAGCGCCCCTAGAGGACAGAGTGGAACTGCCCCATAGGGTTTCCAAGGCTATGCATCTTTCTGGAAGCAGAGTGCCTCATCTTTCTCCCGTGCAGTGGCTGACGGGTTAGAACCATGACCCTTTTGGTTAGCAGCCAAATGCCTTAGCCACTGTGCCGCCAGAGTGCATCTAAATAGGGAGGAGAGTCCTGAATTCCCCAGGCAGCAGAGGGGAGGCCAGTGGCCACCAGGGAGCACTGCTCAAAACAGACCAGTGGGGTTGAGGGACGAAATGGATGGGAAGGGGTGGGTGCTGATCATTGCTGGTCTAATCACAAGCCTCTGGCTGCAGGCTCCGCCCCACAGGCGGGGCCTGGGTCATCCCTGTGCATAAGCTGGGTGTTAGCCCCACCCCTCCTTCCTACCACCCTCTTCCTTCTCCTCTCAGTTGACATGCGTCAAGAGCCCAACCTCCCCAGCTCAGACACACCAGGGCCACGACCTTAGTCACATGGAAGTCGGGGTTTCCCCACTCACTTCCCGGACCACACCCTCTGACTCCATGTCCCCCTCCCTGTGCAATGGCTGCAGCCTCCTGGCTCCCAGCAGACCCTGCCCTTCCCCCTGCCCCCACCCCTGCCTCAAGGCTTTTGTCCCTAGCCCTTGTCACTGCCTGGTGGTCCTCTCTTCCCCACCTGGAATTCAGGGATTCTGTCTGCTTTGTTTGGTGCCCCGGCTTAGGGAACAGCCCCCCAACACTGAAATATCCTATAAGCTTTAGTTTAGTAAATAAATCTCAAGATCTCAGAATTCTTGTGCTGTGAGTGGTGTCACGTTCCACACACTCCAGGTGTGTGGGGAGGCCTCACTCATAGCAACTGGGGCAGAGCCTGCAGCTAGGGGATCAAGCCCCTGTGGCCGGTGCCCCTGCCCCTTCCCCTCCATCCTCTTACTCCCCCACCCAGATGGTGCCCCTTGGCGGCCATCACGTTCCCCTTGCAGCCTGGGGAGTTTGGGACCTTCGTCTCCGATTAGGGAGCCCTGGTGGGTGCAAACAGTTAACACTCTCCCTGCTAACCCGGAAGTTGGAAATCCAGGCCACTGGACATAGCTCGGAGGAAAGGCCTGGGAATCAGCCCTGTAGAGGCTGTGATGCACTGTCCCACCCTGACCTGCCCAGGGTCACCAGGAGTCAGGTCAACTCCCAAGTCACCGCTGGTCTCTTCTTTCTCCCAAACTCTAGAGAACAAACCCTCAAGTAAGCAAAGGAACAGATGGATGAATGGGATGCCTGTTGAAAATGCAGACTCTGGCAATGGGGGTCTGAAAAGCTTGCAAGCAGCCACCTAGATGCAATGATGGGTCTCTCCTCATCCAGAGCAAAGAAGAATGAAGAAAACCAAAGATGCATGGGAACAATTAGTCCAAGGGCCTAGTGGACCATGCAACCCTCAGCCTAAGTGACTATGAGACCAGAAGAACTAGGTGGTGTTACCACTGTCAACCACTCAGAGGGGGATCAGTGCAGGAGACCCTGGATAGAGTAGGGGAACAAAGTGGAACAAAACTCAAAATCATTAAAAAAAAAAAAAAGACCAGGTTTTCTGGTCTGAGAGAGCCTGGTGAGACCCCCCAAGACTATGGCCCCTGGTTCCCCTTCAGGTCTGGAACTGAACTCACTCCCATGGCTTCCAGCCAAACAACAGACAGGCACATGGGGTGAACATTTACATCAGGTAGATATGCTCCTTGGAGGGATCAGTCATGGGGGAACAGAAGGGCAGTGTTTGCACAGGGAGACAGCTCAGGGGGTGGGAGCGCATGGGAGGGAAGGACACAGGGAAGAGGTAACTACAGGGAGGAAGTGGGAAGAGACCTGTTACATTGTGGGGAATGGCAGTCAATGTCAAAAAAATGTGTTATGAACTGCTGTATGGAAAATGAGTTTGCTCTGTAAACTTTCACCCAAATCACAATAATTTTTTTTAATGTAGGCTCTGGGTCTAGACAGCCTGGGTTCAATCCCAGCTTTGCCACCTCCCAGCCAATTTATATGACCCCTCTGGGCCCCAGTGTGCCCACCTATAAAATGGAAATCTTCTCTCTGAGGGTGCAGGATGAATTCAAAGGGCTTGTTGGTGAGAAGCACTGAGCAGAGAACTAGCCTGGTGAACCCCTGGAATATGTGAGCGATAATAATATAATTATTCTCTCCTCCAGGGCTTCAGTGGTGTTCTGGTGACACAGTGCCTAAGACATCTGACCGCTAACCAGAATGTTGCAGTTTAAAACCACCAGCTGCTCCACAGAACGAAGACAGGGCAATCTACTTCTGTAAAGATTTACTGCCTCAGAAACCCAATGGGAGTTGCTGAGTCAGAATAAACTGGGTGGTAGTGGATTTTTTTTTTCCCCAGCGCTTCAAACCAGTTCTTCCTGGTTCACTCATGGCTGATAAAGCATTGGAATAGACCTGAATTTTTTTAAATATGGGTGAACTGAATGACAACTGGAATAAGAAAACTTACAGGTCAAGGCCCTGCTAGAAACTTAATCTCCCTCTTAGAAAACAACACAAGCATGTCTGTTGCACAGCTACCAAATCTCTTAACCAACAGAGTCAGAGACAACAGTGCCCGACATCACTGCTTGGAATGTGTGTCGCTGTCCACGGTCCTGACCATAACCAAGTCTCCCGCATCAAGCTCCTGCAAGGGCTCACTGCCCCTCTTCTGAGTCTCTGGTTCCAGAGTGCTGATGCATAATTTTTCCCATTCTGGTTATCATTCCAGTTAACCCACATTTTAAAAATTGGAGTCTGTTCCAATTTTGCTTCTTCACCCACAACAGAACCAGTTGGAAGCCCTGCTTTCATCACAGAGTGACTCTGGAGAGTCCTGAGAAGAGGAACAGAACCTCTGTCCCTCCCTTGCCCCCTGTGACAATGGCCTTGACCATTTATTGTGAGAGGGCGTTCTGAGGCCAGGAAGAAGGGCCAAGAAGGGGAACAATGGGTGGCAGCAGTGGCCAGAATTGCCCCTCAGGCACTGGGCAGGAGTGGGTCACATGGGTGAGCCTTGTGCCTGGCCTGGCCTGGCCCTTACCTTCCCGTGACTGTTCCGAGCTGTTGAACATGTGGGTGGAAGCCTGCGCGGGGGCCACCTCCCGGGCGTTAATGATCTCAGCTTTTTCTGGAAGGAGAGGCAGAGAGTAGGCACACGGACCCTCTGCCCATGTGGGCCCAGGGGGCAAGCCCCCGTCCAGCCCCAGGCCGACCACCCCCATGTCCCGTGTGCTCCCCGTGCCCTGCACCACAGGCACTCACTTGTGGTGCTGTTGTAGATAGTAAGGAACAGGCCGCCCCCGATGCCCATGCTGTGAGCATTCATGAGCCCCACGCACAGCAGGGCCGCAATGGCCGCGTCCACCGCCGAGCCGCCGTCCTGCAGGGTGTCCCTGCATGAAGAGGTGGTGAGAACCTGCAGGCCACCTCCCACACATCCCCTGCTGCCCACCTGCCCAAAGAAAGGCCCCAAGAGAAGCCCACAGGAATTCCTTTTTTTTTTTTTTTTTTT